TATCTGTTAAGAGTTAGGGCGAGAATCGAGCTTGGAGTCAGTAGCTTTTTTTTTTCGAAATTTGGAACGGTTTTGGTATTGGGCAGAACTGCTTACGTACAAAAAAATTATGGAAGACTGTGAACAAGTTGGAAATCACAAAATTCCGAAACAGTTCCTTTTTTTCTGGGTTTGGCTTCACACTGTCTGGTGTCATTACGTGACCTAGATATGCAACTTATCTCCTCAGAAATTCACTCTTGCCTGATTGAAGTGGTTGGAAAACTAACTAAGTGTTCTTGTGATGATGTTCATGACCCTCTGAAAGATCACGTGAGCGTTTTTCAAACCGAATGGCATGCGAGTAAACTAGTAGTGGCCATTCTCTGTGATAAAAACGGTATTGGGTATAAAGGCTTCGTCCATTTCAATTCCTCCTTCCAAAGCGGGAACTGAGAGAGTTCTAGAACAATCCCAGAATTGTTCTTATAGGCGCCAATCACAAATTCGCCTAGCGGAAGTTTTCAAAAGAATTTGTATAATAAACAATTGGCCTTTTGACAAAAGCTCAATAGAATCTAAAGGCCGGGATAGACGTTCCGTTATGTCCATCAACTTGCTTGCGCAAACTTGAATTGAACGGCAAGATTGAATCCATATTTGACCCCTAACTATTCAGTCTTAAGCTTTGTGGTGCATACGTTTCATATTTTGGAAACCAAAATCAATTTCCAACTCAATTTTTTGAAATACGAGTGACAAGTTAACAAAAAATTACGCATAATCTCGTCCATTGGTAAGAGAGTATTGAGATTTTATCAAAATCCCAATTGTTTATTATACAAATTGTTTTGAAAACTGCCACTAGGGGTCGCGGATTTCAATTTGTGATTGGCGCCTATACGGTTCTAATGGGCGTTGAAAACGCTTTTTATAACATGCGCATGTGCAGAATGATTCCGAACTAGTTCTGAGTGAAACAAAAACAAAGTTAGAATCATTCCAGAACAGTTCCGAACTGCGTAGTGCAGAAATAAAAAAAAACGAACTGAAACTTGAGAATCGATTCTGAAAAAAAAAAAACAGCGCAACAATCTTTCTGCGTCTGTGCGATCTGTCACGGCTGACCCTGACGCGCAATTCAGGCAAATAAAATGACATCATTAACGGACGTTATGGACTACGGTGTTAAGAAAACAGTTACCTAATAATTTTTAAGGTTAACTTAGAAGTTAAATTTAAGCAATACGGATAACGGATTAACTGTTTTCTGCCCAACTTTGGCAGAGACAACTGGAAAATTTTAGAGGAGGCCTATGTTCAACAATGATGGACGTGAAAAGAGTCTGTTTGATGATGATCATTATCATTATCATCCCAGCCATTTCCGTCCGATGGCAAACATAGGTCTCTTCATCTAGATATTTCTACTTCCCTCTGTTTTGAGCGGTTGCAATGCAATTTGCATTGAGTCTCTTCAGATCATCCGTCCATCACGTGGGCGATCTTCCTCGGTTTCGTTTGTCTGATTTCGGTCTCCACTCTAAAACTTTCTGGTCCATCTACCATTCTTCTGTCTTGCGACATGACCACCCATCTCCATTTATATTTTGCAATTTTCTCTATGATGTCTTCCAGTTTTTCTGCGGATATTGTCGTTTCTTATTTTGTCCCTCGGAGCTATTCTCAGCATCGATCTTTCGATTTTGCATTGTGTGACACGTAGCTTTCTGGCTGATGCTCTTGTGAGTGTTGGGGTTTCTGGTCCATAGGGGAGAACTAGCAAGACGCACGTAATAAAAGTTTTCCTCTTCAAGAATATAGCTATATCATGGTCTTTAAATATATGTCTGAGCCGACCACATTCCGCCCATCCGAGAGTGATACATCTTGAAAGTTCGTCAGTTTGATTTTCTCTATTAATTCCATGTTCCAAATAAGAGTATTTTTCCACAAATTCTATATCTGCTCCGTGAATTTGTTTATTTTCACTGGGGACTAGGTTTGTCATTGTCTTAGTCTTGCCCTGATGTTTGAGGATCACGAACCGCTTAACATCTAAAATGGATCAGTATAAACAAGCTGGATTCTATAAGAACTACACAAGGAGAACTTGAAGCCAATGAATATATAATTTGCCCCTATTCTAAGCCTTCCTCAAACAGCTAGCTGAAACCTCAGAGAAACTATAATTGGACTCCGGAAGATCAAAATTATGGAAAACATGGAAAGGGAACAAGATATAATAGTTAATACCTAGAAATCGAACTAAGTACAAAAAACAGATGGAACGTGGAATCTATCCAATCTCTTAGAGCAAACACCATCTAATGGTACACAGACGGTTCCAAAACTGCTGAGGGAACTTGAGCCGAAGTATTCGGGCCACGGACCAAATACTCGGAGATAATGGGTAAATCACCAAGCATATTTCAAGCAAAACCTCATGCGATCCGAAGATGCGGGCAGTTCAAGGTGAACAGAAGTTATCGGAAACGAGAGATTGTAATAATGTCTGACAGCCAAGCAGCTATCAAAGCATTGAGATCCCCGATCATCAATTCTAAGACAGTATGGGAATGGCTACAGAAACTATTTAAATGAGCTGGGAAAACAAAACAAAGTAACCCCTTCTCTGGGTGCCCGGACACATAAATGTCGCGGGCAACGAATGCGCAGTCAGAATCGTAAGAACGGGAGCATCTACTCCCTTCACTGGATCAGAACCATTTTGCGACGTTGGAAATGCGCACCTCCAAGAAATCCTCAAAAAAGAAGAGAACCGGCAAGGGAGCAATAATGGCTACGACAGGCCACAGATCTATTGGGCAACTTCAACCAAAAAATATCAGAACTGCTCAACCTTAGCAAGAAAAGTCTCAAGACTCTAACCGGGTTTCCCTCGGGACATTGTCGACTTAAGAAATACCTACAGAAACCTTAAGAAACACCTACAGAAGTTGTGGTTAGAAGAAGGTGGCAACTGCAGATTCTGTGAAGACGAAGAAGAGACACCTCACCATCTTCTACTGAACTGCGATGCCGTTAGTTGCTCAAGGATGAAGAACCTATAGGAAGTTCCTTTTTTCACTTGGAAGACATTTCAGCCCCGGAACCGTTAGACATCCTAAAATTCCTATGGGACCTAGAACTGGAACTAGAAGGGGCTGTTTTGAGCAGGAAACCTGAACGAGGAGGGGTACAATAGACCAACCTTGGTCGCGGTGCAACTGACACCTCCAACACACACATACACACATATACATACCTAGAAAAGGTAGTCCTACGCTAAATATTGAACCTCAGTGAAGAAAATCAGGCAGTCAAAATATCTAGAAAAGAGTAAACTAAAATGGATACTTGGAAATCCCTAAATGCCTCAATAATTGAAAACCAGAGTTTTTATTCAATATATCGTCTCGATTATTAGTCTGTTCTCACAGAAATCACAAACCAGTCAGAACGAATTTCATTGGTTGAAAATAGTAATAGAAAACTCTTTGTTGTCGCTTTACAGTAATTAAAAATGCTTTGACTGGTTTGTGATTTGTGTGAAAACAGACATTATCGACAAAAGATTTGGAATCTATTTGAGGCCATTCTGGAAAAATTGTTAAAGCGCAATCGATGATCGAATGATCAAATATGTCCCAGTCAGAGCAAAAATGGGTAGTTAGACGATTATTTATTTGAGAGGATAATCATACCTAGATAAGAGGAATTATTAAGAAATGCCTATTCACAAAGTTGTACGACCAATTGCTGAAAATGATGATGATGACTCAAAATAAGTCATGCGTCTGATATAAAATATACACATTGATTCTTAGACATTCATAAATCACTCCCAGTTAATCAAATATGATTCGGCTAAAAGCGACAATCGATAAATATCTGTTGGTGTTGTGTTGTGGACATAACGGATAAATTCGCGTTCAATTACCATGAAGAATGTTTAAATCTTCAATCCAGAGGGCTTGCTCCCTAAGACAGAACTGACGGAAGAGTCGAAGAGTGATAAGTGAAAAATCATTTCCAAGTTTCGAGTATGAATAGTCGAGGATTGAAGAGTGGAAGAGTGTAGATACCTACTCAATTTATCGAGACTCTTATTTCTGATTGAAATCTGTGAGAATGCATTTGACATATGTTGCAAAATCTAATATTTAACAGTGATTCTTCTTCTGATGAAGATACTACAAACGTGCAATGAAGACTATAAAGTGAGACATTTAGTCTGCAAGTGTCAGACTGAGGCTGTCCAGGAAAAACTTGCTCATATGGAAAACATTCTGAGTAACGATCACAAGCAAAGAATTACAGAAAAAGGATCAACGGTTGAGCAAATTTTGGATGGCTTTCTTCAATAATTGGAAGCAGGAAACGCACAGAATACCATACTCTTGGAGTCATGTCTGGATTATCGTATCAACTGCCACAGTTCTTATGTGAAACTTCCAGAGAACATGCATCAAGTTGCCAAGAAATTGCAATAAAGAAGTGCACAGAAAAGATGCTCAAATACTTTTAGTACCTGAAGATGTGAAAGAAATGTTGAATATTGAAGTTCAGTTTGTTCAGAATGCCTCGGTACTATACTCGCAATGAAAAGTGAGGATAAGACAACAAATTTTTTTAGAACAAAACGAGATTTCTTCTTTGTTTTAGAAATCATCCCATCAGTATTCGTTTAACACTTTTTAGTGTCTTCTAGTTCCTTTTCATCTAGCTAGAGCTTTTTGCTCTTGAATTTTTAATAAGTGATTCGATTTTTTCTGCTGAATATCAATGCTTTACCCATTGCTAAGAAGGTATTTAGATTACTGCAGCCTGCACCAGACAAGTAAAAAAAAAAGTCAGTTAAAACACGAACCCGGGCCAGGCCTCTCCGTCGTCAGTTCCACACCGACAGGTCGCAAGATTCGTTCAGGGAATAAACACAAACTCAAAAGCGTCTCCTAATCCTCTTTGTTGAGAAATAGGTGGAGGCGGCATCGCGAGGGGGACGCATGAGCAGGAGGAGCGTCGCGACGCTTAACACAAGTGCGGATTTAAGCAGGAACGACGGTCGGCGGGTCCATGCTCACAGCCTCCTGCGAGACTCATTTCAGTAGTGGCGGAACGGGGCGCGAGTCGAACGATTTCGGCCTTTTCCGGGGAACTTTTAGTGTGTTTACTTCCGGTTCCGTCGAACGAATACCGCGAACTTTGATTTTATTTATTTTTTTGGAAATTGATCAACATCCAAAGGTAATTTTGTCGGATGAATATCGTCGATCATACGAAGAAGTTGAAGGATGGAAAAAAAAATTTGTTAGTGAGTGTTTAGTGAATACTGAATATATACAGGTAGCTCCTAATGCATGAGTATATAAATTGAGAAATTTGAATGAACATTGAAATTTCAAAAATAATTAAGGGCTAGCTCAAAAGAAAGTAAACATTTTATAATTTCAATATTTAGAGACTTTTCCCATTATGGCTCATAATTCTGATAAAACCAGGATAGTTTCTCTTTCTATCACTGACAACCCAAAGTTGCCACAAATTGGAGAAATCAAAAGTTGTATATTGATGTCATTCAACTAAGTACTGCTAAGAAAGTTTTAGAATTTAATTTTTTCTTCAATTTTTTCGTATATCACGTCTGAAGGGCACTCGTCTCGTGCCCATTTTCGTTTAAACTAAAATCGTTTTTGTTTGTCGAATTTAGCCTTTCCCGCAACGCAACAAAGTATAAATCACCATAAGACAGACGACAAAAATCAAATTTGTCATTCACATCACCAACAACGCGGAGATACCATCAATGAGAGACGCAGAAAAACTGGTCCAAGCTGAATCGATATAAAGATGTCAAATTCGATATTCAGCAGCCAGGTAGGACGTGATAAGAAAGGAAACTTGACGAATTAAATTACCGTTAATTTCTTGTTTTTTTTTTTTATTTTCTTTGACTTGAAACCGATTTTTAAATGATCTCCGTATTATGGTTTATGATTATCGTGCGCCGATGATATTCGATCTACGTAAAGCTTGTGACATCACAAAGACGTTCCGATGTGATCGTTTTTGAATGTTGGTGAGACTGTTTAAAGACTGTGAACATTTCTGCTACGTGTTTTTGAAAATGCGACGGAGGAAACATCATCTGGCTTGAAAAAGGTATTTTTGCAGGTGAGTAACACATAAATTTCATTACAAAACAACAAAATCCGTATAGTTATAATAGCAGAATGGCCAAAACGACAATTCTGGAGGGTCGCTTCTGGCATATCCGTAGGTGCAAACAATTCGCAAATTTACGTTCTATATTTTGTCAGACAATGGGCAGGACCGTTTATCAATCCGAAATATTTAATTAAAACATGCGGACAACGGATTCATAGTGATTTATGCATTTCAGAGGCGACGACTATGAAAATTGATTTAATTAAAATTTTGCGCCCGCGCGCCCGTTCATTTTCCATAAATTTTCGTTCAGATTTCTTTTCCGATAGGTCCGTGCCGTTCCATGGGAAATTTCACACAAAAGCGTTTTTAGTTCATCGATTTTCATTAAAAATACATACATAGTTATAAATTTTAATTTTTTGACACCTACCTACTAAAATTTCTGCATTATGTTTAACAAAACTTTCTCAACAACAACAACACTCACCAACTCAAAACCACAAACTAAACTGACTTGTTTACCGTGTCTAGAACATCTTTTGAAATAGAGGGTTCGACCCAATCTGCATAAAATACACCTTAGCATTTAAATAATGCCTGTTTTATCTCAGAGACCTGGTGCTCGAAAGTCGGGAGAGTCCGTAAAGTGAAAGTTTCGAAAAACGGATCTCTTTTACGCAAATTTTTGATTTATTGCATAACTTTCGTAAGTTTTATAGTCGGAGACGGGTGCTGGGTTCAATAGAAATCCTAGTTTGAATATTAGGAGTATTGTTCCTTATGTGAAGGGATTTTTATTTAAAAAGAACTTTTAGAAAGTTGGAATATTTGACTCGGAGTTGGATTGTGTAGTAACGAATTCAATTTTTTTTTTTTCGAAAATTACCTATACCACGCGCTTTAAATGGGATGGATATTAATGTACAAATTAGTAACGCACGAATGATCTACATAAATCATGATTTCCATAAGCGAATATCAATTGATTATCGATTTGATGTAAAAGTGTGACCGAATATTAGGTGTCTTTTGTCGATTCAGAGCTATAAATTTTCAACCCTTTTTTTCCTGTCAAGAGTTTTACCCTTAAATTTTTTCTAGTATAAAACACAATTTTCAACATTTTGTATAGATCCCAATTCTATTTGAATATCGCAATGTTGAATTGCCTATATTATGGTTGCGTCGTTTCCAAAATGGAATGTTATTTCATTAAAATTATCACCACACCGCCATTGATATTGCAACAAAACCTGTCAGTGCAGTGTCACCATAAATCAAAATCGATTCGTATATACCCGTTACTGATATTTCGATATTTTTACGGTCGCCTCAATTCAGGATAGAGCCTGATGCGTCGGGCCAATCACACGTGCGATATGAGCGCATCTGCTCCGCTCTCCGTATACCGACAAAACAACGCAACGACGCAATGATTTACGGCATTTCGATAATTTTATAAAGCGATTATTTTATTAAACAATGCGCCCCGTCCCCACGGCCGATGCGGAAGTAATTTATGGGAGATGCGCGACAATCGGTTCGCATGTTTGCAAACTTCCTCCCTTCGGACGTTCCATTTTCTATTTCCTTTCGGTTCGGAATTGATTTTTTAAATAAACGGATTTATCAGTCTGGGGGCTTAACATCGGAATTATAGAATCAGTTTCAACTATACTTTGTTTTTTAATCCTATAGGGTAAACATAAATGTGTCAAAATGTATTTATTATAGTTAGTTCATTGGCGTGCCTACACAAGAAAATGCTAAGCGTGCAAGTAGATTATAATTATAATTGTTAAAATCTTTTACCTACGCTTATGGGTGGTATTATTTACAAAAATACCTACGCCTCATGAAACCTGGAAACTCATTGCTCGAGCGCATTGCTGATAGAAGTGTAGATCAAGCCTTTTGGGTGGGTTTTCTTAAAAAAGTTTGTATGTGTGTACGAATGAGACTATTGAAAGTTTTTGGTCACTCTGTAAGGGTTTTAAAGATTTCTGTGGGGTTTTATTTATCGTATTATATTAACCAGGGATGTGCCGTAGACTATGAAATCTACTTTACGCGGTTTGTCTACTCGTTGTCTACGTATTTACATCCACTTTTTTCCATGTAGACTATGTAAACTATGTAGACAATGTAGACAACAGAAAATTTGAAATTTCAGTAATTTTTTTGACAGTTTGCATTGCATTAAATTTATATTGTATCAAATTAGACATTATCCGCAGTTTAATTATCATTACAAAGCAAAAAACAAAACAAAGCAAAAATAGAAACATAACCTTAAAGGCCTGCCAACTGTCAAAAATTGTATACTTTACGCGTTGTCTACATATTTTACACGTTGTCTACATAGATTACATAGTTTACATTGTCTACGCGTTGTTTACACCAGACGTAGACAATCTTTGTTTACGCGTAGATGCCCATCTCTGATATTAACCCTAGAATACTAACCCTCTAAAAACACACGTAGATACTAACCTACGTAAAATTTACGTGTTCCATATTTTTAGGTGTTCGTAGTTCGTGTATGAGTTAAATGTAAGTTTTAGTAAATGTGTCTGTGTATATTGTGTGAGTATGTTTTTAGTTGTGTACATGCATACATGTTAGCATGTTTAAGTAGAATTAAAAAAAAAAAGATCTCCGCAAACTTTCATTTACACAGAATACAAAATAATAATTCTAGCCGCTAATATTTTGAAAATTTTGAGAAAAAATATATATTTTTTTTTTTTTAATGAATAACACTTAGAACAAATTTGCGTTCATATTTTCTCAAAAATACCGCGAAATACAAATAAAATTAATAAATTTCGTTGAAAGAAAGTACTAACCCACGTAAATTTTACGTACAGAAGTGTACTTTTGTGAATCTGGCAGACGTGAAACGACTGGCACAATCAACGGTAATAAAGGCGATGCCTGGTATTGGGGGAAGCACTCTTGAAATTTAAGCGGACTGGATCACATTTTTGAGAAATGGCAGCATATTAAACAAAAAGCACATGTAATATTTACATATTCTAGGGTTAAAAAATAAACTATAGTAGATCGTAATTTATAAACTTTTGAGAACATCCATTGATCTGCCTGAGAGTTCCAGGAGACCCTTCGTAATTCCATTAAGCCTTTCCTCAACGTGACCCTCCCTTGCTTCGACTAACTGCAACTTTTCCATTGTCGCTACCTCGCAACACCAAGACAATCCGGACCCCATAAAATCTAATGCCCTATAAATTGCTACACCGCAACATCCATAATTATTTCAGAAATACTGGAAGCAACACTTACACACCCCAAAGAAGACCTTCAAATAAGTTGCAACCCAAACAAAACGTACAGAATTCGTACAAAATATTCTTCACCCAATGAGAAGATTTTCCAAAAATCAACTACCTAACCTTTTTATGAGTCTGTGAAATTCGAGATCCATTTTGTTTTTTAATGTATTACACACATCAATATTTACTATGCGTCAGTTATATTTGTCTGATGACCGGCATGATCTGAAGATATTATCAGATCTTCTGCCATATTTTCAGATTGATGCTTTTGATCCATGTCGTCGTATGCATCGTTACACATCTCTCTTTTGATCAGGTGATGCATCGATTCTGGTTCTCTCACAATGCGGTGATCTTGATTCGCTTATTCCTGTTTTATTTGCGGACTTCCATTTATTGGGCGACCTGTCTGATCTAGGTATCTCTTGGTCGTCCTGGTAGCATATGTGGATTGGTCAAAAAGGAAAAGCTATGCTCTATTCTCTTCCATGCGGTATCCTTTTGTAAAACTCCACCTCATCAACGGTCCGCACGTTCTCCATGTGCATGAAACATTTGTGGAGCGACAGGTTGTGGCGAACTGCCTTCTTCCATGTGGCAGCGTTTTTCCCGAAATAGCAAAATGTGTTTTAGAACCAATTGTAAATTTCATTAATTCAAATATCAGAAGATTCGATGTTCTGTCTGATAAGCGACGCGTATGTAAAAGGTGGTCTAATGTCAGCGTTTTTGTACAATTCTCTATTTCTTTGGATTTTGCTTGCCAATGACAGAGCTGATTTATCGCTGTCTTCTTCTTATGGGACCTGTTACATTCTGAGCTGGCGATTGTAGTACCGGCGATCGTACCGCTGATACCATGGAAGCCATATTTACAAGAGCAGGTGATACCGCCGAACTAACCGACATTTTTGGTGGCACCGGTCCCATAGATGTTTGGATGGATAAGTGTAAATGATGCATCATCGCTTACAATCGATCTCTTTTTTTTGCAACTTGAGATACTATTTGAATTTGCACACGGGCCTGCGTGGTAGTCCTGTCATCTAAGGTGTGTTCTATATTCAAATGCTTGATAAATGCCTGTATATCGTCACAAATAGTCTCACAGCCTGGCCACAAACTCCATGTCCATAAAGCAGATGATGATTTCTTTCTGGAGTCACTGCTCTTTACCAGACTTTCCTTCCGTGAGCGAACTTTGTATACTGAGCAGATCTGGATTATTTCCATCAATTTCAGTAGGTGGTTTATTATTCATCACATGCTGCTGATCATTCATTTCTTTCCAAGGGCTCATTACATCTCGTGAATTTAATCCTTGTCCTTGAGCAATCATTAGTGGCTGCATACCGATACCTTGATTTACAACGTACTGCCTTTGAACTAATTGTAGCTGTTGAATTATTTGTTGTTGCTGAATACCAAGCTGTTGAAGTGATATCGATGCTTTCTTCTTATCAGATATTGGTAGCTTATCATGCAATTTATTATTCCACTTTTCTAAACAGGAATATTAACTTTATTATAATGTTAGACAAGGTCATTTTGAATATAGCAGCAAACTATCAAATAAAATATGTACATCATCTATTCAAGAACCTTGTATTCTCCCAGTGCCTATCCGTTACCGAATGTTGGCAATCATTCTAGCAATGATACTTTTATTTGTTACGGCTCTAAATACACCTGAGGTGGATGTTT